ATAACATTGATAACTTTTGAGAACACAAAAGAAATCTGATTAAGATATCAATTGTACTTGTAATATATTTTAAATCTTAAAGAGACCTTATGGACCCTCTCTCTCTCTCTCTCTCTCTCTCTCTCTATATATATATATATATATATATATATATATATATATATATATATATATATATATATAGATAGATAGATATATATGTGTGTGTGTGTTCTCATATAATTAATAATAATTTTATTCGTTATTATTATTTTAAAAGTTTTAGCAATATATTGGCACATTGATGACTATCTGTTTACTCCGACAGCCAGTGTAAAATATACTACTGTACTGTACTGATGCGGCATTCACCCTGGGCGGATTGAGCCGGCTTCTTCCTGTTATGAGAAGAAGATTCTTGGGATAAATTACAGAAGTAGGGTACCCAGGCCTACTCGGATAACGTTCTTGCTTGCCGCGGGGTTCCCACAGACGCAGAGACAGGAACGACCAGAAGCCGCCGGTTACCGATGCAGACGCTCCTTGGATTTTCACCAGAGCCCTTGTTAGCCGGTGTGTGTGTCAGACCTGTCCGCCTTGGGTGGCCCTACCAGGGACGAAGTTCCGGGCGGCATAGCTCTGACACTACCGTTTACACCCCCCACCGACTGTGAGTGTAAAATATATATATATATATATATATATATATATATATATATATATATCCTGCGGATCTATGTAAAATACCAGGTTGAGAACTGGCATGGGCTAACTGCTCTTGATGAGGGTGAAAGCAGCTTTGGTTAGCCATCCTTTTAGTGTTGATTTCACGATAGAAAAAAAGTCTTCAAATCGGAAGGAAAACTCATGACAGCTTAACCCGGTCATTATATTGCATGTGTCTGCCAAGAGAGGCATGTACTGGCTGATTTCGACTGTGAAACCACTTGAAAAAAATCATTGTGTTGGTTTTCTGACATCTACATCTAATTAGTTCCACACATATCCGGCCACAACGAAACAACATCAACATTATCTTGGCACTTGGAATGTACAAACTCTCCAGAACAAAAATTCAGCACCAGAACGAAAAACAGCTCTGGTCGCATTGGAGCTAAAGAAGTACAACATTGATATAGCTGCACTGAGAAGTAAGCATCAATCGATTACATGAAACGAGAAAGCAAAATAAGACATCTAACGGTGTCCCTGCTGTACTTGGATACAATACCTTCTCCTCTACTGTTTGTTGTCTTTTGTGCAATTCTCGAGCCGGTCTCAAAAATCATGCCCGTCATAGGCATGCAGATAATTAGTTCGGAACCTCATTAGTTCGGAGAGTCCATCATATATATATATATATATATATATATATATATATATATATATATATATATATATTGAAATAAAATCAAAATCTGGCACAGAAATAGAATTAATTATTCTCTCGGTTTACAATCTGTATCTGTATTTTATTTCAATTCATATATATATATATATATATATATATATATATGTGTGTGTGTGTGTGTGTGTGTGTGTGTGTGTGTGTGTGTGTGTGTGTGTGTTCTCCAATTGGTTCTTTCTACAGCTTCCGTCCCCAATTGACTGGGTTGTTGTCCGTTCTCAGCAAAGTGTTTTTCAGCTGTTATTTGAATCGACCACGTGGTCTCATGCTAGATGCGAGCACCGAGAAGAGGATTTGTTTGAGTATGTCCGGCATTTGGGCAAGGCTTGCGGGCATCGTGAAGGTTTCTAGGCTCTCCATCTTTGCGCGGAGTAGAACTTAGTTGTTCGTGATCCGGTCCTGCTTTGTGTGTTGACTTCATTTGCGGATGTCTTTTCAATAGAGTATCCAGATCTCACGGGCGTACAGGAGAGTTGAGATTAAAATAACTAAGTAGACCATGAGATTGATGGTTTGTTTGAACCCAGGATCGTCGAAGACGGTTTTTAATAGCTTCCCGTATACTGGGTGAACGGCCTTGATTTGGTTATTGACATCTTTTCAGCGGATTCATTTTCTGGGGATTTATGTCTGATGTGTCTGCGATCGGAATTTTTTTTACTCATATATATATATATATATATATATATATATATATATATATATATATATATATATAATCATGTCTGTTTACTCGTTATGACCCTCGTTGACAGGTTGACTTATAGCAACGTCGGATCTACAGGGAATTTTGACACCGGTGAGAGAAAAAAAAGAAAAGAAAAGATGGTCTTACATATAATATGGGGATTATTCTGTGCTTCTGGCGAAGTCATGTTTAAGACTCCGTCAATATATGGAAATTATTCCAATCTTTTGTGGGTGATTTTGACTCGAGTCGAGTCTAAACTTTCGTCAGTAGGTAAACATTGGTTGCTTTTCTAACTTGAGTTTATAGGAAAACACATTGACGGCCTATATACTTGAGTGTATATGTAAACATTGGTAGTGTAACGTAAGTGAGGTATGGAAGAAAGATTTATTCTCTCTTTTGGTATTAACACCGTCATTCACGGACAGAACGGAATAGCTGAACAGAAAATGAATGGCAACATGCAAGGTTTTCAGAGAGACTT